TCATCTTTACATAATATGATATTATAAAAGTCAATACTTCAATTTTATGCATACTACATGGAAAAGTGTTGATAAGTTTCAATTTTTTGTTAAAAAAAACATCAACTGTCTGTTGAAAAACATCAAAATCATTGCAAAATTTTTGAAATGATTCCTCACTAGTTTCATGCTTATATATTATAATTTACCTCCGGCATAATTACATCAGATGGTGTTTGTGAATAGTTAGTAATAACGTCATCAGGTGCAAAGTGTTTAGAACAAATGTAGTCCAATGGTTTCAATTGATTGTTTACTGTATAATGTACTGCTGATTTCCAAGCTACTTTGTTACTTTGTTACTAACCTAACCTTACTTTCGTATACTTTGAACAGAGTAACATTTGTCTGATCTTCACGACTTTCACATTCATTAATTGAACATTTACGTACCTACTTTACGTCTTGGTGCCATTTTGCAATTTTCAAAGTAGCAACAGAAAAATTAAATTTGATGTAACTAGGTAATAAGTTATAAAACCACGTACTTAGATAGTACTATGTACGTGACTAAAACAGTTAAACCAAGTCAAATGTGATGAATAATAAACAGCTAGTAAACACTTAAATAAATAATAATTACAATAATACATTGGAGGGAAAATTCAAAAAAGTAGAAATTTATAGTTCTTATATATAAACATAGATAGAGCGCGAATCGTACTTGCCCCATTTTACCCCGCACAAGCCTACTCATAACCATAAGCGGACCCATGATTAGGCGTTCGTTTCCAGTCCATACTATCTTAGTCCGTGCTACTCACCATGTTATTGAAAAGATAAGTCAATGTATCTTTAGTTAATAAAGCAATGCTTAAAGGTCCGGGTAACTTGTCAGCAAGTATACCTAATATTACACAAATGTTACGATGTTGGTCAACTGTTTTACGTTTAGGAGTTTTATTTGACAAATCTAACATTTGAGATAATTTCATCACAGTGTCCTAAAATTTTTAATTTTACAATAATTATGTAATCTTCAATAAAATTAATAATTTTTAAATAGAATTAAAAAAATGTAATAATTATATTTACTTTGTCGGGTAAAGGGCAATCATCGAGAATAACAGTTATAAGAGCTGGGCTTAGTGGATCATCAAGAGGAATGACATGAATCATAGATAATACCACTTGAATCCAACCATCACCATCATCTGCAACCCAATGTAACTTTCGCAATGCTTCTGGAGCTTCAGTACCACTATAAAATAAAATATGGTTAAATTATTCTGATAGACATGTATATGATATAATTTTGATCATTTTTTTTTCAGATTAATTTGATAAAAACAAGAACCGATTAATTTAAGTTTGAACTATTTTCTGCTCTATTAAACATTCTTAATTATAAATGTAACAAAAAATATATATATAATTTTAATATATAGAAATAATTAGGTTGGTATGAAAAATTAGAAAAGAAAAATATTCCTGCAGAACACCCTCTTTTACAGTATCATGCTATTTTTTTCTAAAAATTATGAGGATATTTATATTTGATTATCTTTACTAGTTGCACAGACAAATGGAATTTTAATAATTAAGCTTTTGAATTTTCTAAAATAAAGATTATTAAATGAACTATAATGTATTTTAATTTGGTTAAATGTAGGATAATGTCAATTTGCCATTAGTTCACCGCCTTTATAAGATGACAGGCCCAATAAGCAACAAAAAAATTATCAACAAAACATGTATGTAGGCTATAGACTAGAAACTATGGCTATACACAATTTATACACCTTATGAGATGAAAAAGTAAATAATGAAATGCAAGGAATAATGTAGTTTTATAAATAAAACMTTAAACCAGAGTATCCGCATGAAACCAGGAGGAGTGCTAACCCTAGCTGAGGTTAATTAATGATATTAAATAATTCATGAAAGAAGAAGGTGTGTGATACTTTGGTAGATATCAGTGCTATGAGGTAAAGAGTTTAGCATATTTTAAGAATGTTTAGAACTATTTTATCATAGGAAATCAGTACATATTAGTGACAGTATTATTGCATGTATATTATTATTTATTTATATATATTTATATACTATTATAATATATAGTAATAMTAATAGTGTCAGTGTTGACAACTACAACAGTTGCTTATTAATAGGGTTAGGATGTTTATGACTTTTGCATATTTTTTCTTTTATTCATGCACTTTGCAGACCAAGTTATAAATTTGTTTTGTGCAACATAGAATCAGATACATTCAATTTTATTTTGCATATTTTTGCATATTTAGGGATTTTTATGAATAAATGCATATTTTGAAAAAAATTGTAAATAAATGCCTATTTCGCCAAAAAATAACTTAAATACAATATAAACCTCAATAAAAACCCATAAGTAGRMATAGTCAGTTTCACATTTAACGAAAATTARAAAATATGAAACCCGTAGTATATAATTAACTTATCTTTATTACTTTCTTAATTAAATATTAATTTACTGTAAGTACCAAAGTTTTTAATTTCAAAGTATCATATTTTTAAATATTTGTATTTAAGTTTAAAGTTATAAAAAAAAGTTGTAAATTATTTTAAAATACAGTTCGGATTAGAAATTGGATTATTTATAAGGTCATATTTTGATATTTATTGTGCATATTTGCATGCATCTTTTAGTGTTTTTAAGCTCATAAACATCCTAACCCTACTTATTAAGTATGTGAAGGAATCAGTTTTAATTGATTGAACATATATAATTTTTAATTTCTTCAAAGTATTCAAATTATACATCGAACAAGACATATACAGAATTTAAAATACTTTTTAGATATAGGTATAATTAATGTTTGAACTTATGAAAACCATTTGTTCGAGTAACAAAATAAAGCACATGTTTAATGTTGACAGAAAAATGTTAAGTAAAATATTATAGAACAATAATTTTAATGTGTAAATTATTTAGGATATATTTAAAAACAGATTTATTTTTAATCTCATTAAATTCYATTAAGTGTGATTTTAAAAAACAAGAAACTAATTGTTTTATTGTTAGTAAAAAAATTATTATCCTACATTCCTACAGTAAAATGTCAACCATAACTGAAATATTAATGAAATATTGAATAAAATACTCAGTGTATCTTAGATCGRATAATTATTTAAGTCTACTAACATTTTTATCGTAAATTAACTTAAAACAATTAAAACATGTATTAATAGTAATAAATTAGATAAATAAAAAACGGTGATAATTATTAATCAATTTTGCTAGGTACCTAAATTTTCATATTTAAAAAAAAAATTATTACCTAGAATAATTATAAAATAATTAATCCAATCCCACAAAGCCTTAGTGAATAAAATGAGAATCAAAACACAACAAACAACAAAAATGTACATTTAACTGTAATTATTGTTATGGACCAATATATATATATATATATATTGTTTAGGAATGTCATAAGTACTAAATGCAATTAAAATATATTTTGTAATTGTAATGATTACAGAATGAATAGCAAACCAATGTAATAAAATAAGGTATTCATTGAAAATACTATTGCATGAAAAAAATTATTAAATAATATACAAAATATATTCTGTAATTGTAATGATTACAGAATGAATAGCAAGTCAATGTAATAAAATAAGGTATTCATAGAGAATACTATTGCATAAAAAAATTATTAAATAAAGGTAAGGTTAAAAAGGTTACCTATGTAAAAAAAAAACATTAATTATTTTTTATTAAATCTTACAGAAAAAAAACTTGTGGTTATCACAAGTCATCTTATACATATTATAATTTATAATTGATAAGTGAGTTTTTTTAAAACCTTATATTGCTTTTATAATATTTTAAATGAAGAATGTATACAATTTTATTGGAATATTTGTAGTTGATATACATTTGTTATTTTTAATATTATAGTTGGTTATTTTTAATAAAAATAGGCAGGCAACTACAGAAATATTTTAAAATTTAGCTGGAACATGGTAGCCATAAATAACAATAAGTAGATAGTTTTTCAGTGTTTCTATTTMAAAATGTAGTTTAAGACACTGGATTATGTAAATAATAAAACCTTATTGGTACACCTACATAATATATTGAAATCAGTCTTTCATTTTAGTTTTTATATTTTGTTGAGAAATAAGAATGGGTTTTCAATAAATTATTTGTCGAGGTGCCYATGTAATATTCTTAGTGTTGTATCAAACAAAAATAAAATTTAAAAACACAATATAAGATACACTTACTTTACGTATTGTGTTAAGTACTATACCTACAATAGGTAATTAAAAATGTTGTACGATGATTATCATGGTATACGTTTTATCTGGATTAGACTACATAACATTGTTAAATATTATAATATACCTACCTATATTAATTTTACTGTTGTTTAAACAATAAAAATTGCCAAATTGTTGTTTAGATTAAGATAACGAATAAGTGGTACTCAGAAAAAAAACAAATAGGTAATAAAATGTAGATGCCTACCTAATTTTTAAGATGTATTAATGGTTTTTCATTATCTTTCAAAAGTTTATACTTTAAAGGACCTACCTTAAATGATTACTATACACTTATAAGTATAGAATAATTAGGAAGTCTACTGTGAGAAAATATAAGAAACAATATTCAGTGATGAAATAGATATTGCCTATTGTAAGTAGGTATGCATCACACATATTTTAGAAAACACAAACCTAGCTTGTGCCAGAATTGCTTACTTCTCAATAAGTCCCAAGTTCTTGATAATACTCAATGTCTGAAGCACAAGCGAATCAGTCTGTCTAACCGAACTGCTGCGACTACGACGTCTGCCAAATATAAATCGTCTCCGTTCACCAACATCCTGACTGAATATGTTCGATACATTTTCGCCGTTCTGACACGATTTACAGTGAAACGCACCCATGTAAACAAYGATGATAATTACAAAAAAAAAAGGTAGGGAGAGTTACGAATAATAAAATCCAAAAAATCGTCACTTCTAATAGTTGATTTATCGTCGGTATTATTATTGTTCGTCCGTCGGGTAGTCGAATAAACGATATATTCGAACAGCCCGGACTTCGATGCACGGTACACTTAAAATATTATTGAAGTTGATTATAGAGCAATGAGCAGCGATTGCCGCAGTATAAGTTAAAAAACATTATAGAAACCGTTAGAACCGACTTGAGCCGAGTGCGCCATTAACGCTGCACTGCTGCAGAGTGTCGACCGACCGCGCGCGCACCCGACCGCTCGTATGCGCGAGTTAAATATTATTTACGTCAACAACAATAAAAATACATATAATTAAATGCGGAAAACAATAAATCGCTCGCACGCGTGCGATCGCGAGTGTGCGTGTGTATATAATATGGCTTTTGTGAAATATTGTATGTTCGTGTGTGTGTGTGCATTTAGTACAACATTACGCACTGTACATCGATATAATTGTTTAATATTTTATATGTTACATTACATACAATCAGAGGAGACAAGTATATCATATAACAAACAAACAAAAACGTATTACACTATTACACTATTACGTTTAGTGATTCATCGTTAAAACAATAATAATAATAGATTTATGATATGATAAATTTCGTAGCAAAAAAATACTTTYAAAGTTTCAGCTGTAGCTGATATTATCAATTTATCATCAGCCATCTGGGCGGCGCACACGGACGTGCGAAGGTGACGTAAACAAAGAGTATTTACTCGGTGATAATAAATAGTGGGCCCAGACCATGTGTACCTCGGAGAGACCAGTCCAAGGTCAATCGCCGAGACCGACCTGCCTTCGGCCATAATTGGTCCGCAGACCGCCAAGTTTTTCATCTAACCCGCGGCCGAGGCTGACTGACCGGCAACCGTTTCCGTGAAGCGCAGTCACCGGACTGTTGAACGCAAATTCGGTGTGAGGACTACCTAAGTACCGACTATGGCATTTCCCGCTCGTTAGTCGTTACCTCACTTAACACTTATATAGTGAAACAATTAACATAGTAATTGCCAGTTATTGGTTATTTCTTATGACACTATCCTACACCAACGGATACAAACATCACCGCCTCCTGGCGGTCACCACATTTGCGGTTCGTAGTATAAGTACAACCGGACCTACATGCTMGTCCGTTACTTATTCTATGACTCGTTACTTCGTTAATGTYAGTCAGTCGCCGCGCGTTCGTCTAATGGGCGTACGTTGACGTTCCGAACGAACCGCAACGTGGCGCATTCACCATAACTATTAACTAACCAACTATCATAACGTTTTCTTGATTTCAACAAACGCCACAGTCTCATCGTCATCGCTTTTCATTCGTTCGATTTGTCATGGATAAGGTCGTGACGTGTGTGGCACCCGTCAACATAGCAACCATTAAATACTGTGAGTTCCCGCGCTTTTCTCCCTATAAAAGACATCCATTCCAGGATATTATATTTTTATATTTCAGGGGGCAAAAGAGACGAACATTTGATATTGCCTCTAAACGATTCGGTCAGTCTGACTTTGGACTGCGATCAAGTGAGTTTATGCTTAACACTTTTACCTGTATATGTGGGATCACATACATCCTTAATAACAAAAAGCTCATTATTTTTTAAAATWAACTGAGCTTTTGAATTGTCATTCCAACTTAAATTCATAGAAAAATGATCTCGTAAATTTTTTTTATAACAAACAATAAATGTGTTTAGTGTCCATTTTAATAATAATTAACCATGGACCCAAACATTACTCTATATTAAAAGGATATATATTGAAAAAAAAGGTTTTTTTCTAGTTGGAAAATACCTTCAAGCTTTAGTATTAACTATTTTTTATAACTCATAAAAATTGTTTTGTTTTTTCGTATTAAATATACATCAAGAAAGAAAAGATGTGGGCCATTTTCTAGAATTTGTTATACCATATTTGGGATATAATAGGCTATAGTTTTATAGGTAACTTTTTTTTTATAGATKCATGCCAAAACATCTGTTCTCGCAGGCCCGTTTATAGATGAAGACAGTGTTTGGTTAAATGGGCAGTAAGTAACTTGAAATTTTTATGATTTTTCAAAAATGTATGTGCTAATTTCTAAACATTAAGGCCAGTGACGCGTTGAACTCACTATGTTTACTGACAAGGGGTCTTTAAAATTATGTCTTCTGGTCTAGATTTACTAGTAAAATATACTTAGTCTATTGATAGATTTCTTTTGACTATAATATTACCTTATTCACTCAAAATCTAATGTGATTGTTAATATTATAATATGAAATATGATTATCATAATAATAACAGTATTATTTGCTTTTATAAAAGATATTTGTATTATTATTCCAATAACTATATTTTCATTTGTTGGATCACTTTATTTTCTGCTTCTGAAATATTAACATACCTGAACTGTAGAATAATAAATATTTCCTATCCATAAACTAGTTTTACTTTTCAGAACTAAACTGAATGCAATTATTTCAACTGTCTATCAAATATCTAAACATTTTTTACTATAAAATATCTTAGATGAAACAATATTTTCTTACATTTCCCATAATATTAACATTAATTAACTTCATTAATAATTGCATTCAGGTTAAGTCGTAATATAATATTGAATGATGTGATTGATTATTATTTAAAATTTTTATCTACCTTATGTAATTTAAACTTTAAAGTAATATATTTTATTCAAATGTTTGCATTAATCTTCATATAGGTATGTATATATATATATATATCATATAATATTTCATGATATTTCAATAATAAATATTAAAAAAACTATATAATATATTTGTACATTGCACTTTAATGTTTATATCTAAAAAATATAAATATGTGAAGCTAAAAAAACATTTAATTGATGTAATTTAATAACGTTTAATAATTTATGAGTTTTGTGTTATGTAATTTTCTTCTATTAGAAAGTAACTACAAAATTGCAATTAATTATAATTAATAGATAGTTAAAATTTAATCATTATTTGTGTATTATATTTAGTTAATCATGAGAAACATTCATTAGGTTTTTAATTTTTATTAATTACTATAGGTACCTGTTGAATTGATTTGGAACAAAATATGACACTAGTAATTAATTTTATATTAATTATTAATATATAAAAGTCAATATTATTCATATATATTATTAATTTAATTAAAGTAATTAAGTGCTTATCACAATAGTTGTTGCATTTATTATGTCTAAATATTTAATTGATATTTTGAATGTGATAGATGATTTTATAGTATATAAATCAATCTTAATAAAATAAATTTATTGAAACAGGATATGAAGTTTAAATACTTCAAACTACCATATATATTTTCATAATTATAGTTATAACATACAATTTAATAAAATATATGTATGTTAAATCAATAACAAATGATAATAAAATTACAGGATTATGTCCATCGAAACAAATGAACGCCTGAAAAAGTGCTTTGATCTAAGTAAGACTGTATTTCAATAATATAAATTAAATAAATCCATATTTTTATAATAATTTATATGGTTTGTTATTCGTTGAAAAAAATGGTTACTAGGTTAATGTTTTTTTTTTAGTAAGAAGTTTAATCAAAAAACGTAAAGGTGAAAATAGTCAAGAAGGAAAATGGAATATAAGGGTCTGTTCTGAGAATAATTTTCCTACTGCCGCAGGTCTAGCTTCATCAGCAGCTGGTTATGCTTGTCTTGGTTTGTACATTTTCAAAAATCATAATTAAGCCTTAAAAAATTTCTAATGATTTTAAATATTTTTAACAGTTTATACATTGGCTAATGCTTTTGGCTTGGTTGATGAAGATTTACCATCTATTGCAAGACAAGGTAGTGGAAGTGCATGTAGAAGTATTTATGGAGGATTTGTTCATTGGAAGGCTGGTATTGATGACCTAGGTTCAGATTCAACTGCAGTTCAAATTGCTGCTGATACACACTGGCCTGAAATGAGAATTATTATACTAGTGGTAAAATAGGTCTTTTATGTCTATTAATGTAACTGCTACATATACAATATTGTTGTTATACATTCTAAKTGAAACAGATTCATTTTACAATGCTTTCATACAATTTTTTCCTATAATACTTGTGAGTTGTAATTTAAAATCATATTTGCCGTCAATTGATAGAAACTCAAATTTAGTGGTAATGTAAACACAATTTAAACCTTACTCCACCACATAATAGTTTTTTGAATTCAATTTTTTATCATTGCTTCAAAATTAAGTTTCACAAGATACTGTAGTATACATAACTAATGTTTAATGTCTTTAACAATTATAATTCATATTTCTTATTATTTTTGCCAGGTAAATGATTCTCAAAAAAAAACTAGCAGTACTGTGGGAATGAAACAAACAGTAAAAACTAGTGAATTGCTTAAATACAGAGTTCAAAGTTGTGTACCTGGAAGAACAGATGAAATCATTAAAGTATAATTATTTCTAAAATATTTTTTTTATAAATATTTGAATGCTATAAGTCTGTTTCAGGCCATTACAGATAAAAATTTTGAAAAATTTGCTGAGATTACAATGCGAGACAGTAATCAATTTCATGCTGTTTGCTTGGATACATATCCTCCTTGTGTTTATTTAAATCAAGTATCACATGAAATAATATCTTTTATTCATGATTATAATGAAGCTGTTGGTCAAATTAAAGTATAGGACTATTTTTAATCGCATTTAAAGTTATTGTGAGGGTACCATGATGGTTTTTCTTTTATTATCTTAGGTTTCTTATACATTTGATGCTGGTCCAAATGCTTTTTTATTTATTCAACAAAATGATCTGAGTTTGTTCATGTCGGAATTGGTCAATGTATTCCCATCAGAGCAACCCAATTCTTCATATTTACGAGGAATTAAATCAACACTGCCTAATAAAGTTTGAAAAAAATGAAATAAAATAATGTGCATCAGTTTTGTAAATGTGATTTTGTTATTTATTTTAGATAAAACCATACGGATTTAAACCCAAAGATAAAGATCTTTTAAAGTATATCATGGTCACTAAATTAGGCAGTGGTCCAAAATGTGTTGATGACCATTTATTAAATAATGATGGTACTCTGAAACTAAGCAATTAAATTTGCTATTTATCAAGACATTTTATAGTTAATTTATTGTTGTCTGTTTAATGAAATATTTGTTTAAAAAAAAAATTGTTAGTATAATTTTATTTTWTTTTATAAAATATTATTGCTTTATTATGTTAAATTATATAATATTATTGGAGTTGAATATTYAAATTTATGTAATTTAGATGGGCAAAATTAATTAAAATAAAGCTTATTTTGTATGCATTCATTCAGAACTATATTTTTATTGGAATAACATTTTGCTCTCAGGTTACATTTATATTCTTGGAGTACATATACATGTTTACCTTGAAGGCTGGAAGTATGGAGATCTGTTCAAAGGGTTTATGTTTGATTTAAATGGTTTAAGTAGTTAAAKTATTATTTTTTATTGTATGTTATATTGTTATTGAATAAGTAAATGGATGTTTAGTTTAAACATAAAATAAAAGAAATCAAAATAAATATCATGTATAGAAAATCTCATAAAAATTGTGTAATTCAAGACTCTTCCTAAGTTGAAGAACGAAGCATTTTAACCTTTAAATATGAAAACACTGGATAAAAACTATACTAAATACACACACAAACATCATTATAATACCAATATATATTTTAAAATATTCATTATTTCAATATTTTTGTTGATAAAAATTAAGATTCATATAATTAAGAAAAAATTGTAGTAGCATGAATAGTTAAATAATCAATAAATGATTCAAAAAGTTTGCTTTTTAAAATGTTAACCTGCTGGTCTAACTTTAACTAAGCGGTTACATTTATAAATAATGATATTTAAAACAAGTAATTTACATATTGTGCCAAGATCACAGATTCAGATATTTTCTCCAAAATGAAATATAAATCACTAAATTTATCAAAATAATATTTTTTGGTAAAAAGATTATMATACATTTTAACGAAAAAGATGAGAATAATTATTAATTATAAATAAATAAACATAACACAATTTTAACATTATATAATATTACATTTTTATTAGAAAGTTTTTTCAGCTTTACTACTTAGAAAAAAAAATACCTATTTGTAATAAGTTATACATAATTATAAATTCATAACTGACATAAATAATATGTWTGTTTATTTATTAAATAAATTACATTCAGTTTAGCTAAGAAAAACATAATACATTGAATTTTTAAAATTTTGAATGTGCCATTGTTATTATATTGACTATTGGCCAGGCTCTAAAAGGAAAGCATACAAATTTGATTAATATACAAAAATACATGATATTATATTAATTGTAATCTTTTAAACAATTATTATTCAACTTCAAATTTGAATAACATTTTATACTAAGCGTATTAAATAAATAAATACAAAATATATAATTTTTCATAACTATCATAAACAACACAAAACTATGATATAAATGCACACAAATCTATTTTTTTTTCAATTATTAATATTTGAAACAATCAAATCATGCAAAAATCAATAAGTAATCGCTTTATGAAAACACACTATAACTTACTGAAAATGTATAACAATTTTTCAATTGTTTAATATATATAAACTCAAGCTTTTTCATCTGAAATATCGGAATTTTTGTRAATATAAATAAAATGAAGAAATTATTACATCATAATTAAATCTAATATTATGAGATATTTCTTCCAAATATACTAAGTGTTTTTAAATGTAATTGTTAATTCTTAGCCTGAAGCCATATTGTATGGTAGAAGTCTAGTAAAATAAGTTCAATTTTTTTTTATAGTATTAGTTTGATTGACAATCTACAAAATCACTGTATTTTATAGTCCAAAAGTGATTGCCAGTAGATAATTACACATTTCACAAGTAGATATTTATGAAAAACTATGTGGGAGCTCAGTAAAAGCAGTTTAGATGTAATAGTTTGAACATTTTTTGAATTGTGCTGAACAATAAATAATTTTTGTCATTAACTTATTAAGTAGGAATATTAAGGGCGGGTTGCATAAAGAACAGTCTGTAAATTTGTTACCAGCCCTGTAATTTACCGGCTCTATAAGGTTTTTAATGATTGTGTAAACTATTCTCGGGTTGCATAAAGAAAAATAAAATTATCATAACCGTGGTTACCAAATAAATTAAACCATATTAAACCAAAAAATTGTGCGTAACCGCGTAGGTATATTAACTTAAAAATATTTTTTATTCTTTAATAATCGCAAAAACTAAAAAATATATAATATAAATTGAATATTGATAATCTTTTATAGTAAAACTTGTTTATCTTATCATAATAATAATATTATATTATTTTAACCGATCTGTCATTAGTTACAGAGCCCAAATCGGATCTGCAGTTTACAGGTCCGGTAGCCGATGATTTACAGAGCTGGTAACTTTACMGAGCGTTCAAGCAACATCTAATTTTATTTACAGATCCGTTAACGTACTTACAGATCTGTAAGTAGTTACAGGACGTTTATGCAACCCGCCCTAAGACAAATTGAGATGTCATGTACCAACTAGATTCATTTATCTTCTAAGATCACATATTAAAAATTAATTAATAGATGTAAATAATTTTATTAGATACTTACTGGATGGCTTTCCCTTRACCCATGGGGTGAATTTTACGTGTGTTTCATCGCGTTTAGCTGCATTGGCTTGGAGTTCTGGTTTCAACACCCTTCGTACAACTTTTGCAGCGATGTTGGAATAATTAACATAGCTAAAATCAAGCAGAGAAATCAATTTAATGGATAAGGTTAAAGTTTGACATGGCCTTTGTCAGTGTTAAGATTTTAGATTRTACTTAACATTGTAAAAATACATGGTGTATTGACATAATTAAATTAATAATAATACAAAAAAGAAAAACTAACCACAAATAATTTATACTCAATATTTTACATTGAGTTAATTTTTATGTGGCATAATGGTGATCAAATTAAATATTTATTATGACTTTAAATGTACAGTTTTGACTCTGTGAGTAACATAACAATACTTATGGTAGGTGTTCCATGCATACGTCGCGCGTCAGGTGATCAGTATAATACCGACTTATCAGTATTTTCTGCCAACTACATGTCTTTTGCGAAATGGTCTCCCATCCCTCAATCAGATAATATAGTGGGAGACTAGGTTACACTTTTTGCACTCTGAAGTAGTGCTCAAAATTGAAGATGGGTAATTATAATGCTTGTACATTGAATTATCAATTATTGCAGGCAGAATTGCCACAAAATGACTATAAAAATATTATTATAAATCAATGCAAATTGTAACAGCAGCTTGGATAGTAATTACATAAAT